AGTCTCTCATTTGCTTAGCTGCGGTGCTATCAGTAAAAAAGCTGAGCTAACTAAAAATCAGCGCCTATCCAACGTTTTTTTGCCCCCAAGTCTGATGGGTCAACACGTTTGATTCCCTACCGCAAGACACGTCTATTTATAGGGATAGAATACTTAAATTAGAAGACTATTGAACTGGGATCAGACTTCTCCGTGTAGATACCTCCTTAACGAATATGGATTTGGAATATGTATAGATTTTCGTACCCATTAGGGAGAGTCATAGAATATATTTCAGATTTATATTCAAGGGACAGCTCTTTGAATACAATGCTGTGTCGTTTAAGGTAAATTGTGCTCCCATGTGGTCACAAAGTTAATAAAACCATTTCTGGCATACCTTAAGGAAAAAGAAATGTTTCTGTCTTTATTGCTTTCTGTTCGGTTATACTTATAGAGATTGCCTGAATAATTTAGGCCCAGTTTCATTCAATTGTGACAGAAAGGAAGTATCTTTACTTGAGCGGACGAGGCAGACATTACTAAACCTAGTAAAGACAATAATGGAAAGCATCCAAATCCGGGTAGTACTTTCTCATATATGAACCAAGGACTACCGCACAGACTGACAGACAGACAGACCGACAGACAGACAGACCGACAGACAGACAGACGGAAATGAGCAACATGGAGTTTCGTGATGTACATGTCGTATAACATCCAAAAAAACACAATATCTCATTTTCGAAGTGTTTGGCGACAACAATACTTCCTCGGCAGTGGGAGGTAAAAATGAGCATATTGCACCGTCCATCTATCATCTCAACGTTAGAATCTGAGAAACCTTCGTTTACTAATATACACAAACATAAAGATCGTTCTGCAATCAGCTTTGTACAATATAATGGCCACCGGAGCACTAGTATAGCACCGCTGAAGGAGTATAACATAACTTGAAAAGTAACTTTGTGTTGTTTTTTTTTACATAATGTAGGCTTTGCAACAATACGTCAACTTGGAACTAGTTGTAGTTCACTTCAAGCTCACTTGTAGCAAGCGTGGAATGAACTATTCCATACAATGGAAGGAAAGATGCAACTGACATTGACTTCAATGACAATAATGACTTAATTTGCAAATATTCACATCTGACAAGGGCCTGTATGCTGGATCGTCGAATGCACAGCTAGTCACGGTAAGTAAGTCAGTATTGTAGACCTGAGAGCCTAACAGCTGGCTGAGAATTATTAAGCTTTGTAATTTTTCATAACCTCACTTACTTTAGCCAGATTACCAGTTGCATCTTGCTCTTTATCTTGTTCCGTATATAAATGTCTATATTGACGTGTAAAGATAACGGTCCAGCGCTGCAATCTTTTTATTTAGGCAAGGCGCGCACTGAGGTAGTGTGGTAGTGGTGAGGTATTGGAGTGGTGAGAGGCATAGGGATGGTAAAATTTGGCGTGGCGATCGGAATAGCGGCGAAGTGGTATGAAAGTGATATAAAGCGCACTGAAGTGGCAAACAAGTCAGTTGATGTCACCGGTTTACCATGTCGTCCTCAGAAGATGAAGATGCCCTTTTATTTATGCAACTTGTTAATCTAAATGCTATAAGTCAGGAGACAAAGAAAAAACGGCATTTTTGAACTTGGACGACCAAAAATTTAAACTTTTCTATCGAATGAAGAAAGAGACTTTTAGCAAGTTACTGACTAAACTACGGCCTATGCTTCAAAAAAAGGATACGAACTTCAGGAAATGTGTTTCTCCCGAAGAAAGCGTTCTAATAACACTGAGGTACGTACAATGAAAAAATATAAATACAGATATATTTACTATCCAAATACAAACTTATTGTACAACATTATTCTTAAAAAGCAAATTCATGATCTGGTAATAATGGGTTATTATACTGAATATTTGGTAATAATGTATCTTGTGCTTGTGTGGATGTCTGACGTACTGTTGAAAACGAAATATCTTCATATGTCCTCGAATCAGCTGTCTCACATTGAGGTCGAATAGAGCTGGTACATGCTGAAGAGGAACGGGTAGAAGGTATGCTGTCTGCAGCAAGCGATGAATAACTAGACGTTGGGGAGAAGAGAGGTGCAGAAATATGAGACACTACAGGCTCATCCAAGATTTCACCGGCAAGATTTAGGACTCCCACTTTATATTTTCTTTTCTGCTTGTCTGTCATCTCTGTGCTTGCTTCTTTTTTTCAAAAAATTCAAAGGCAGATTTGTTAACATCTGCCAAAGATATTTGATTCGGAGTAGTTTTATTTCTTTTAGGATTATTTACACTAGGTACTGACGAACTGGATACACTTCTCTTTTGTGTTTTTTGCTTTGGATCTCCAGAATAATTTTTTTCCAAACTGTCTGTCTGAGATACAATAATATTTGATACAGGCTCGTTAAATTCTTCAGGAATATACTGTTCATCATCAATATCGTCATTTCTCCCTTGGTTGTTTTTGTAATTTCCAATTTTTGGACTTCCTAATTGTTGAGTTTCAAGCTCTTCGGTCTCTAGGTCCTCCGTAATTGATTCTTCATGAATTATATCGGCCATTTCAATATTCTTTGGTGCGTCAACATTTCCTTTCGGTTGGCGGGACTTAGTGAACGGTAAAACAAAACATATGTACTCCGAGAGATAGCATGGGCGTTTTACCGATGCTCCAGATCCAGATGGCATGTATGTCTTTAAATGTTTCGTGTAACTTCCACGTAAATTCTTCTACCTTTTTTTGCCATCTGCGATGGTAGCTACAATAAAAACACATCATTAAGATATACAAATGAAGCGTGCTGAGCATAATGTGTGTGTAAAGTTTACTTTATTGCTTGCTATTATTATAATTATTAATAATATTGTTATTAATATTCACTTTTTTACGCTTTCGAACACTATTAAAAAAAGTGAAATAACGCCAATTAATATGTAATTTTTTATATTTTTAAAACCAAAATGCCGTGATGTGGGGAAAACCACCACTTCCACACTTTGTTTGGTAAAATAAAGTACCTACTTAATTATTGTTTTTCTTTCCAGGTATTTTGCAACCGGCTGCAATCTAAAGGCACTATCATGTTATTTTTTGAGAGGTCATACTACCATTAGAGAAATAATTGCAAGAACTTCAGTAGTAATTTGGAAAGTTCTACAACCAACTTATCTTCCTAATCCTACCAAAGAAACATGGGTACAATCAGCTCGAAGATACTGGGAGTTATGGAATTTACCAAATTGTGTGGGGAGTATAGACGGTAAACACATCAGGATCAAACGTCCACCAAAATCAGGTTCCGAATTTATTAATTACAAAGGGTATTTTTCCATTGTTTTGATGGCTGTATCAGACGCAGATGGCTGTTTCTTGACCATTGATGTTGGTGAGTACGGGCGAAATAGTGACGGGAGGGCATTAAAAGAAAGTAATTTTGGAAAGAAATTAGTTAACAGCACGTTAGACTTGCCAGACCCATCTTCATTACCAGGACAAGACACAAATTTTCCATTTTATTTTGCTACAGACGAAGCTTTTCCATTGATGTGTACTATAATGAAACCCTACCCTAAAAAAGGCTTAACAAATAGAAAAAGGGTATTCAATGGTAGGTTATCAAGAGGTCGCAAATCAGTTGAATGCTCATTTGGAATGATGTCATCCAAGTTCAGAATTTTACACACAACAATTGGTCTTAATATAAATACAGTGGACAATATTGTTAAAGCAGTGTGCTTACTACATAATTTTATTAAAAAAGAGGAAGGTATATTTTCGCGCTCGCGAGGAAAGAAAGGAAATGATGATGACATAGAAGTAGAAAATGAGGAACAGCCTTATCCGAGACTCTCAAATCAAAGAAGAGCTACCAATCCAGCAATTGCTACACGGGAGAAACTTTGTGATTTTTTTTTAACAGTGGACGGGTCACTTAAAGGTCAAAAACGATTTTGTGTATGAAAACAAGAAGATAACAATATTAACAGAATAAAAAGATAACTAAATAATGCCTTTAAATAAAAAAATATATTTTTCAAGGAACCACATTTTTTTATTACTTACCTCCTTCCCCAATGTCTTTTGCAATTTTCGCCCAAGCCCGTTCTTGCACATGGATCATATGATAATCCTCCCGTGTATTGTCATACAGACAGGGATATGCCTCTACAAGGGCTACAAAATTAATGTTCAATTCGTGGTCGTCTCGCATGATTCACTCCAGGAAAAAGTAAACAAAAACCCACGTCGCGTCGTCGTCACCAACCGCTTGCCAGTCGAAAATTAAACTTGCTCGAGATTAGTGGCACCAGACTGACATCACGCCACCGCTACTCCATTTTGATACGCGCGTCTTCATTTGTTTATATAGGCTTATAGGTTTATATTAGCGATTCCACCTGCCACTTGATCACCGCGCCACTACCACGTCACTTGCTCACCATCTCAGTGCGCGCCTTGCTTAAGCAAATTCTTTTCGCAAGCAGTTCCGGTTCTGGCTGACATAAAAATGACAGATTTTTTATGACAATGGACAGTTTTCGCGACTAGCAAAAGAATGCACCGGTTCCCAAATTGTGATTGTAACAGTAAATATTATATTGCTCCGTATTTGCAATTCACTTCAATCCATGACAGACTGAAATCAGAACCAACCTCCAGGACTAATCCTAAAAATTTTGAACCAGTTCTTAACACTGACGTCGTTGTTATGAATAGAATACGTTTGGTTATAAATTGGTCGACCTTGAATTAGAACCACTGCCAAATAAATTTGCTTCATGCTGTAAAGCAGTAGTCATAGCAGTTCAACAAACTATCAAATCTCAAAATCAATTGATAATTACCGTGAATCTATCAAAACTGCAGCATACACCGCTGGACTGCAGAAAGTTAGCTGAATGCACTCTCTCAAACAAATGTGCATCTTTCTCGGTCTACTGGGGTAAGTACGAGCAGCCTATGTTTTCTCTCACACTTCGAGTAGTAAGTATAAAACTCACCTGGATGTTTTTAAGCTATATTTAATTCCTCTAAACTTTGTCCAAACCATGCCTGACTCGTTGCTCTCACCACGAAGATAGTTTCCATTAAGGTTGCTCCTGTGACAGGCGTTATACCACCACGCTCCGGCTTGAAATTTGAAGCTATTATTAAACATACATCAAGGGTGAAGTTATTTTTTGTACTTAGTGTTTGGACGCACGCAGGAGCCTCTAAACGAACAATATTTAGATGAGAGCTTGCCAACTATAGCTCAGTCAGCATGATCATATTGCACCAGAGATTTTTTTCGATAAATCCGTGGTGGAAGCTTTCAAATGAATACCTGTATATGGTTTCATTGGCCAGACAAACATGGGGGATCATCTTTGCCACAATAAATTGTTGTGACGCAACATCTTCGAAATGTTGGAGCTAATCCAGTGCTTTGAGGGGCCACAATATACATTCTTTTCCGTAGTTTTGTTAGCCGTTTCGCCTAGGACTCCTTGGACGAAGGTGTACCACATTTCTTGGCTACTACGTTTATCAAGCGCAGCAGGCCAGACGACTTGAACAGGGCTTGGTTAAAGGCTTCGTAATTCATAACTTTGATCGTTTTGAAGCTTTTGGTGCTAGAACGATTGCTTACATTGAGCTGGAGGAAATATAAAAGTGTGCAGTTGTCTGTTGCCAGAAGGTGGCGAATAATCCAAACTAGAAACGGTGTCGGTGACGTTGACGAAGATCAAATCAAAATTTCTCATTTCGGACCAATACATTAGCCACCTAGATCATATAATACCACACCTTTCACCTTTAGGTATACGTCTATATAGGTAAGAAATATGTAAGAGTAATTTGAAATCAGCGTTACTCGTGTTATTTTACAAATATCACTTAAAATGCACGGACACGTTATTGAAAGTTACAATTTCAAAATTTACTTTAGCAACAGTAACTATCTACCTATATACGAAAAAATATTTTTCTAGCATATGCCATAGATGGTTCTTTTCTCGTATTATAAATATTGTCAGATACTAATAAGTTGTATTTTTTCTTATGCTTTTGATGAAAGTAGATCTTAATGATTAACCATCTTAAAAAGTCAGACTAGGCTTACTAAACGTCACGGCACAATTATTCTCCGAATTATCATGATCTTGATCGTAGGTGCTAAATTTCTGACCAGCTTGATACTCCAATGAATCCCCTGCAGTACCAGAATATCCTCCCAGAGCTTTAAGAGAGAAGTACTCAGCTTCGGACCCAATGCTAAACACAGAATATTTGGCAAAGCGTGTTTCATTCTCAAAGTCTTCCAGTTCTACTCGTAGTTCGTTAACGAAAATACCTACAAAAAATTCTTTAGATAGATTAGAAGATAAATTATTCCACTGACCAGCAATTCGTATATGACGCATCTTAACAAATGTTGCATCAGGAATGGGGGATCAGGGGGCGCAGTTCTGATGGATAACACTTCAAAGGACGCAAACAAAAACAAAAGAACGTACGACGACGGGATAAGGTACGCAGTCAAGCTTTAGTTGTGATTCTTTGGGTGACTATAAGAAGAACAGTTTTGGTGCACAAACCTCCACGTATGGAGGCGAATTACATAAGTATGTATGAAGGAGGTGTATGTATGAAGGTTATTTTTTGTAGTTTTACTATGACTTGCCAAAAACCGTGAAAAGGCCTATACCTTATAAAATACAACCTGGGCGTGTTTTTGGATAAATTCGCCCTCAGGGATCATACTACCGCAAATTTTACGTTTTCGCTTACCGGTTATTTCATGAATACGATCCAGTCCTAACCAAAATTCCCCTCTTAGGTTACCAAATCCTGCTTTGTAAGTAGGCCAGTCTTGATAAAATTTGATAGAACCATCAAATCTGTTCTGAATAACTGTCCAGCCTCCTCCATCTACTTCCATTTCGCAAAACACCAGGAATGGTTCATGAGCGTAATCAGGCTGAATTGTATAGAGACCAGAAGAATGTATTCCTTGAAGCAATATTGTAGTTACAAGTAAATATTAAGATAATCCGAAAGGTGACCTTATTATAATTGCGTTACACACTATAACTTTCAGAATGTACTCACGATCCCTGACTGACTAAAATACATTGAAAAAACGAGTCAAACTATTATTGATTGATTGATGCTTAATAGCCTAAATTAATACATGTCCGTATTGTAGTGAATAAGATGTTTAAGCATGTATCAGTATTTTTATGATAGGCTTTACATAGAAATATTATTATTTTGTATCCTAATGTTCGACTTGTTAATAGTATTGTGATGACTAGTGTCTACTACATTTCTAATTATTTTTCAACTTTTAGCACGTCATATGCATAATTATGTTTCTTTACAATAAAACTATTTAATTTGAAAGACATGTCTTGATTTCAAGCTTTTATTTCTTGATATGGCTGTTATTTCTCATTCTATTCAGTTCACTTAGTGCTTCGTCATTAGGGTAGGATCGCCTAAGAGTACGCGTTCCATAAGAGTACGCGATCGCCATTTTTTTATTGTTATCCCCGCCAGTCGGCTGTCGTCTCGTCAGTAGTTAGTTGTTAGTTGTCCCAAGAGTTTGTGTAGTTTTGCTGACAATTTTTAACAAATGCGTAACATATATGCGGAAAAAATAGTTTTCCTGAAATTACATGTAATATTTTGAACTTACTGGGTAAGTAATATTTAATTAAATCGCAAATTTTTATAAAAAATCGTAAATATGCCTTAAACAGTAATGTTTACAGTTGATCCTTAGCGACATACATACAGTTTTTCTGGTTGCCTAAATTTGTAACTCAGTGTTTAAATTTTTCATGTCAAGGTTCCTAAGAGTACGCAGGCAAAGAGTACGCATGCGAACTCTTAGGATTCGTGCGTACTCTTAGGGACACATGAAATGACTTCTTATTATTTGTTTTAGTTTGTTATAATGGGTAAATACAAGCGAAAGAGCGATAGATCATTAAAATTTACTCAAGAAATCATCGACCAAGCAAGGAACCGCATCGCAAAAGGGGAAAGTAAAAGATCGGTCGCAAAGTCCTTTCATGTGAATGAGTGTACATTAAGAAAAAGATTGCGAGAAGTAATAATAAACTGACGATTTTAACGTCAAAATGCAATTTTATTTTTATTTTAGGGTACTATTCCATCTAGTCTGGGTAGATTTAAGCCTGTATTTTCACAAGCACAGGAAAAGGAATTGGCTGACCATATCAAAGATCTAGATAACAGATTTTATGGACTGCGTATGAAAGATGTTAGGTACTTGGCCTTTCAGTATGCAGAATTAAATAAAATTCCGCATAGGTTTAATACAGAAAACAAGATGGCGGGGAAACACTGGGTACAAGATTTTGCAGCAAGAAATACTTTGTCTCTCAGAGCTCCAGAAAAATGCAGCTTAGGTCGCGCTATCGGCTTTAATAAAGTTCAGTGTCAACGCTTTTTCGAAAATTTAAAAATAGTTTACGAAAAATTAAAACTACCACCACACAGGATCTTTAATATGGACGAGACGGGATTATCTACCGTACCAAACAAGCTCCCAAAAGTTTATGCTTGTAAAGGGAAGAAAACTGTGTCAAAAGTTGTATCAGGTGAACGAGGTCAGCTAGTTACGGCTGTATGCTGCATGAGCGCTGGTGGTACTTGGGTTCCGCCAGGTCTTATTTTCGCAAGAAAAAGAATGAAGGAGGAACTTTTTTTTGGAGCACCTCCTGGGACATTAAAAATGATCTCAGATTCAGGTTATATGAACACTGATTTGTTTGTAATTTGGTTGCGACATTTTTGCGACTTTGTAAAACCATCCGAAACAGATCCAGTGGTTTTAATAATGGACAATCACACATCTCATTGCTCATTGGAGACCATTTTATTCTCTAGAAGTCATTTTATAACGCTACTAACCCTACCTCCTCATGCAAGCCATAAAATTCAACCCTTAGATAAAGGATTTTTCTTTCCCTTAAAAACAGCTTTTTCAAACGAATGCGATAAATGGATGGTCAACAACCCTGGACGCCCTATTACTTTAAAAGAAATGGCTGCCATTTTCCATTTTGCTTATTCAAAAGTCACTACTATAGAAATATGTGAAAAATCATTTGCTTGCACTGGGTTGTTTCCTTATAACCCAGACGTTTTTAGTGATTTAGATTTTGCTCCATCTGAGGTCACAAACAGACCACATCTAGACCTGGCCCAAGAAACTCAATCTGAAATACAAAGAATCGAATCATCTGTTGAAGAGAGTTCATTTGATGACGATTGCACTCTTGCAGAAGTAAGAAATACCATAATAAAAGAAAACTTAAAATTAACCGAAGAAAAGCAATCTACGATTCCCGAACCACAAAGTTCAGACGTTACTGAAAGTACAGCTTACTTTAAAGCAGCTCCTAAGGAACTAAGTGAACCAGGTACAAGTGGCTATATCCCGCCTAAAAACGATAAGGAAAAATTATTTGAAAATGAGCAAACTAGAACACCAAGTCCAAAAAGTACAGGCTTTACCAAAATTTCAACTTATGTTGAGGCTACGTCTGCGGCACCGATTGATCTAGGTTTAAGTGTTTGTATTACTCCTAAAATGATTTTACCGTTACCAAAAGCTACCCATGAACAAGTAAGAAGAACTAAATCTAAAAAGTCGGAAATCCTGTCATCTACCCCATACAAAGACAAATTGTTGGAAGAAAAAGATAGGCGTAAAGAAGGCCTAAAGAAAAAGGGAGGAAAAAGAAAAGTTTTTGGGGATTCTGGGCAAAATACAGAAATCCAGAAGAAGAAAAAAGTTGACAATGAAAAAGACAATACGATTTGTCCCGGATGTTCCGAGCATTATTCTACATCCGATTGGATTAAGTGTCACTTGTGTCAAACATGGTGGCATGATGACTGCTCTAATTATCTAGGAAATGGCCTATTTTATTGTGACTTATGCCTACATTTAAAAGAATAAGTTTAGGTACAGCCAATTGGGCGATATATCTTACCGCGTACTCTTTGGTTTACATGCGTACTCTTTAGGACACAATTGAGTACTCTTAAGGAACCTGTATCCTAAGAGTACGCATTTTATTGTTTTTGTTTAAACTTTTATATTTTCGTTAAATGTTAAAATGTATGGCAAAATTTGTCTTTTAAGTTTAGATTAGTATGTAAGCTAAAATATTTTGAATAAAAATTTCAACTTAAAGCATTTCAATTATTTTTAAACAAAGTAAATTGGTTAAGTGCGTACTCTTGTGCGATCCTACCCTACATGATGTTTTCTCTTAGTTTGTTGCAGTGTAACTCATCAATACAGCATAGTCTAATCATATTAACAAATTTCCCCGAAATAATTGTAAAGCCTGGTTTTATTGATGCAAGTTGTTCAAGGGGGTATTTGAAACATGGACACATAAAATGGGTAGGTACACCAATTTTTGTGGGAGAACTTTCTATCCGACAACAAAGAATGAGAATACGTGTTTTTTGAGATTCAATTGAAAGTATCGGCAGGAACGAAAAAAATCTTCAAATAAGATGTTTAGGTATTTATGATACCTACAAAATAAGACTACACGTAAAAAGCTCCGACTAATAGTAAAGAGGTTAAGGCCGAAAACCAAGGCAAAATGTAGGTTTTGGCACTTGTTGCTGATGCGACGATAATTTCACGCAGCTACTTGAAATTCTCCAAATCCGTAGGTCTTATACCTCTGAATAACCACAACAAAATTGGAGTCGATTGGTCAAGTAGATTTTGGGAATTTCTAATTGTTTATCCCTCAACCCCTGTCTTCCGGTCATCACTACTAGTTTATACTGAGCAATATACAGAGTTTGTTCAGACGGCATTTAACAGCAAAACACACGAATTAACCTTGCCGACATGAATCACAAACCATTCCCAAAGATAATTATTTGTATGCGACGAACGAAGGGTTACGTTTTTTCTTATAAACAAATTCAAACATTTAATATAAGAGAGTAAGTGTTCACATGCTCTACCATATTCGAAAAACATACGTTATTATACACATTTTAAAACAAAGAACACATTTTGTTACGAAGAAAACAATTTTTTTTCAAGATTTCTTCATACTCTTGTGTATACATATTTAGAGTTGACATACATTTTACACGGTCACAGATGATCCTTAAAGTTTATAAAAAAGATTACTCCATACTGAAATGCACTGATCTGTTTATGAAGTTATCACGCGAACTGAAGACACAATTATGTTTAAAACTGTCTTAGACTAGTTAGTATGTAGCATGTGCTAAATGGCTGCATTATTGATGACCGCATGACTTTGTCAAATAAGTAGGTCACGTAATCTAGTTTTTTTTACGAAGAAATATAATTCCCTAGACTTTTTTCTGAAAGCATTGATACAGTATTCGCCTGTTTTCGAAATCTCGTTCGATTAAAACGACCGCGAGTTCAAAATGTTAGAAAATAAACTCTTGAAAACGAAAAAACAGTAGACAAATATCAACCAATTGTGGCGAACTAACCGTTTTAAAAATTAGGCAAGATGCTTTGAATGAACTCTTCTTTGTTGTCGAATAAAAAGTTTTCCCACAAAAATTGGTGTACCCATTTTATTTGTCCATGTTTTAAATATCCTCTTAAACGACTTGCAGCAATAAAACCAGCACTTTACAATTATTTTGCAAACCGCGGGTTTTTTCGTCTAATATGATTAGACTAATCAATCATCTTTCCAAAGTCTGTACTCAACTCAGTGCTCAGTGACAAGTAAGCTTGTTCTTTCTAATTGTCGCAACTGCATGGTGTACAGTGCCGCCTTGCATTTTGTGGTTATTCGCCGTTTTGTTACGGACGTCATTTTGTATTTGGAAGTTTATCTCTAAAGTGTCATGTATTTGTTCAGTTACATAGTGACTATGTGACTACTGAGAAGCATACCTACCTTTCAACTTGGCATCCATGCAACTTTTAAAAAAAACCTGTTGACTCAGGGTGGAATAATTACGAGTACCTGGAATAACAATAAAATTGTTTTCAAAATAACAAAAATCAAGAATTTTTTGTTTTATCTGTGGTCAATATGTTGTATACGTAAGACATAGTGTGTTCAAGTTAATGTTCAAACAAATTACAATTCCGGAAAACGTTATGTTGTTAGCTAAGTACGTAAGTCCCGGCATGAGTTTTGTCCTACGGAAATTAACTAAAGCGCAGATAGGATTTGTTTGTATGTTTATAACTTACCCTTTTTCGTTAGTCCAAATACAAAGTATATAGTCAACGCCAAACAAAGTGGCGTGCACGTCATCACGATAAAAATTCCCCGACCTAATGCCTAGGTTTCTATCACAAACAATTGCTCTATTGCAGTTTCATATTAATGTGATATATAAATTGTAAAATGGTCATTACTCTCTTATTATGGTTAATAGTCATATAAACATTGTTATTAAAATATCACATAAGTTGCTTTCTGATAAATTTAGACGCATTATGCGAAATAAAATGTTTTGCAAACGCTCCAATCACTTATCGACATGTAAACGCACTAAACCGATTTCGCAGCGTTGACACATTGTCACCTTGAAACTTATTTAAACTGGGAACTGACATTTGTATTAATTTTGACACTGAATCAATTTGTGGCATTTCAAATCTTTATAAATCCTTTGGCCCCGCATACTGTAAATCAACAACTGTTTGTTTCAAAACAAAATTATTCATTTTACGAGTAGATAAAGGCAATTTTGGTATATAAAGATGCCCAAACAGTTAAATAGTCGGTGTAAGGAACTCGTGGCCTCGTTAATGCACTACTTTGAGCAAGAAAGGGACAACAACGGGCCTTTGTTGCCTTTAAATGCTGTTCAAGAGGTAGGTTACAAATAATTATATGTAATGTATATTAATAATAGTGAAATTTTATTTCATTTTTTGTAGCGTGTTGCTGCTGCTTTAAAAATTAGTTTAAGGACAGTTAGTCGTATTTCCGAGAGTGTGAAAAGTGATGCAAATTTAGAATCGCCCAAGAAAAAGCGGAGTTATATTAAACGTGTAACCAACACAGCGACATTGGATACAAGTGCCATTCGAGAAGTGATCTATAATATGTATCACAAAAGTACGATCTTATTATAATAACTTATCAGAAATTTGCATTAATTTGTTAACTAAATTATAATGTCATATTACACATGGTTTCAGAAGAACAAGTTACGATACAAACTTTATGGTCTCGATTAAGAGATAGGGCATTATTTGATGGTAGTGCCACGTCTTTAAGGCGGTTGCTTAGAGATCTTGGATTTAAGTGGCTTAAGGACAATCCGTGACGAGGGCTCATGGAACTACCAAGTATAGCTTTGAAAAGGGTGGAATTTCTAAGGCAATACAATCAAGCCAAGGTTGAGGCCTTATACCAGTTTGTCTTCCTCGATGAAACTTGGATATTTCAAAAGGGGACCATAGGTCGCTCTTGGCAAAATGGAAACCAAAAAAGCGTGAAAGCTATTAAAACAGATGGTAAAAGGTATGTACTTTTACACAATTTGCACTATAAAATTTAAAAGTAATATATTTTAGATACATTATATTACATGCTGGAAATGAAAATGGGTTTATTGAGGGTAGTGAAGCGATATTTTCTTCGAAAACAAAATTGAGCGATTACCATGGAGAGATGAACCAGGACAATTTTTTGAAATGGTTTCAACATCAGTTTTTAGAAAAATTGGAGAGTCCATCTATGATTATACTGCATAACGCCCCTTATCACAGCATGATATTGAACAAAGTGCCCAACAATGCATGGACAAAAAAAAATATCCAAGACTGGTTGACAAATCAAAACATACCATTTTTAAACACAATGTTTAAAACAGAGCTATTGAGTATTGTTGCTCGGTACATAATGCTTCTTAATTATATATATTTTGGTCGACAGTTTATATTTCTTTTGTTTATTCCTATTCTTAAAATAACTGCTTTTTTAGAAACAAACCACCTAAAATATACGTGATTGATGAATTGGCGGAACAACATGGGCACAAAGTTCTTCGTCTGCCTCCTTACCATTGTATATTTAACCCTATTGAGTTAATTTGGGGCATAGCAAAAGGTTACTATAACAGACATATTGGTAGAGATAGTAACAGTGAAAAAGACTGTTTGGATATGTGGAACGAGGCTCTACAAACGGTTACCCCAGACATGTGGAAAAATAGTGTTCGACATACTGAGCAAGAAATTTTTAAATGGTATGAAGGAGAACGAATTTTTGATCGACCAGACATCGAACCTTTAATAATCAACTTTGAGAGTGATGAAGATTCAGATTCAGACAGCGCTGAAGAAAGAAACTCCGACTAACTTTATTGTACAGAAAAAGCTTACACCAGTAGCTTACCTAATTTTAGAATGCATTTTTCTGTATGAATTCTGTAAAATAAATACCATGCATAAAATTTGGAGGACCCCATTTGGATTTTTATTCAGTACCTTTAAGCTATCAATTAAATATGGTAGTTTCATAGTGTCATCTGATCAATAATTGTCATACTTAATGATTATGCAAGTACAGATCTATAATTTTATTATACTATTATTTTTGTTCTCATTTGAGGTTAATATTGCTTATAAACCTAGATATGTAAATAATAAATTTTATTATTTTACAAAAAGTTTGGCAACAATGTAAATTTTTCAACACACCCACCTTGATGACGTGCACGCCACTTTGTTTGGCGTTGACTATACACATTCAGCTGTTAGTGCAAATACGTTACCCTTATCAATCAGCTGGTGGCGAGCCCTACTTTTTTCCCCTGTGTTTCGTTACAAGCCTTAGCCTCCTGGATCTCTTTTTCACCAAGCATCCCCTACAGCACTGCTGTCATGTCTCCCCTAGGTAGCTCAGAGCAGGATCTTGTCGAAGTTAGGTTTCGGTCAGAGCCCGCTGAGGCAGCAGAAACTCTCTCAGTCCGCAAAATTTGGCATTACGGATATGGCGACTGAGAGGGGCTCAGACTTCTTCTTCATCTTTCCTTGGTGAGTATGCATCGGCTGTCTGATCATCGATATGCGAAATTACCCACGATGGGATTGAACAATACATCTGTTAGATTGACAGTGCCAAAGCCAGGGTCCAACGGCTCGTTCAGCAAATCGTGCAATACTGCTCGTCACCAGAAGATCAAGGCGCACAGAACCTTCTTTAAAAACCCACTGAAGAGAATAGATGATCCAACGTCGAGTCCAGAAACAAATATAACGAAAGGTTCACAATGCCAAAGACCAATACGATCTAAAAGCCTGGACGTTGACCAGGTAGATTGAAGCGAACTTCTCACAGAGTAGCCTTCCACCAATTACGTGCCAGGATGGAGTGATTATAACAGACTCAAAGGCTAAGACCGTAAGACGAGGGCTCTTGTCGCTCGACATCAACAAAGCTTCTGGTCCGAACTTAATTTCTGCCGTTATATTGAAAAGATGTGAATCGGAGCTTGCTCCAGTTCCTTCGTGTCTCTTCCAGATATCTTACGAATCCGGCACCTTCACAGAAAACTGGAAATTTTCTCATGTCCAGCTCATCCCAAAAAAGGGATCTGAGACCGACCCTCACAACTACAGGCCTATAGCTACGTTTTCTGTTATATATCGCGAGCTTCTGGACTATCTCGAACGTCACACCTCCTAGCTTACGTCATACAGTTGTGGAGTAAGCTCATACGGTGTTGTGGTGAGGCTCACGTCGTTGCTCTTGCTATCACGAGAGTGTTCAATCAGCTGTGGCACGCTGCCTTAAACTTCCATTCTGTGGCCTCCCAGAGAAGCTTTGCAGATGACTGGTTGACTTACTCTCTGTCCTCAAAATATCCGTGGTAATTCCGAAACGATTTGTTGATAACAGCACTCTGGATGCAGAAATTCAGGGCGACAAGCCGATCTCTACCGGTGAGCTGGAAAAAGAAGTCTAGCAGGTGCATCTTCTCTGATGAGAGACCTGGAGGTTATCATTGATTGGGGACGCAACAATCTTGTACAGCTTAATGCTTCCAAAGCACAGTACTGTACCTTGATGAATAAGAAGCGTGCTAGCGCTCAGCCAGTTTCGATGGATGGCCGAGTTCTGCCAAAGAGCCGTTCATTTCATCTGAGCGGATTCTATTGAGAAGGGGCAATGAGAACGGTGATTTGATGATTGGTTCTTGCATACGTTAATCGATATGGAGGAAAACATTGTGAAGAACAATAAATAGTTTTCTCATATGACAAGACTTATGCTGTGTCCTAATAATCCAGTCATATTAAGAGTTTTACCTCGCGATGACATATAATAAACTGTAAACTCATAAAAACACTTATTTTGTCATTCTAAAGGTAGTCTATGTAGTTTCAGAAATTCTCCCGGCGTCTTAAGACATTGAAGGTCGAGCGTCACAAAAATCTGATTTTACTGATATCTCGCTTCCTATGGGTTTAATTCAATCATTATGAATATTGTACAGCCTTTGTGTAAAACACGTTTTCACGCAACTAACCGTTTTTGCGCCTAGCCGTTTGCAGCATAATGCAAGGTCAACCGTTAGTCCCGCACGGGTATTGTGTAAAAAACCTAAAAAACGTCGAAAAAGCCAAATGTCATCTTGCAGGCCAGGTAGTTTATAGTGTGCAAACAGTTCTTTCCACGTTTGCTCGCTATAATAGCTGTTCGCTGACGTTTAAGCAACACGTACAGCTACAAAACGATTTCACAACAAGTGTACAACAGCTTGTGCTAAGTTAACATCTTGTAGAAAAACAACATAATGTCACAAAGAACCTACGGAATGTCAAAAAACCGACGAAATATCACTTTTCAAGATAATTCATACCCGTGTCAATCAGGGGGTGAAATGTCTTATGGGCGAACTGACAACGCCAAGGTCATCCTCTCCAGGCAAAATTGTGGAAGCTGCATTACCGCCATCGCGACAAGTGATGCTTGCCGGGATCACCTATCTAAATCTAAATTTAAAAATATCAAATATAGCGTTTGTTTTTGTTAACGTCCAGATTATCAACGCTAATGCTTTAGGAGATATTTTGTTGAAAATGAGTATTAAATATAACTGAACATTATCAGTAGCTGAGACGGTATACAGAGATGTATTGTGACTATTGTGGGAAACACAAAAGTTCAGGAGACTCCGTCATAAAGTGCTGTGGCTGTGAACTTAAAATACCGGCGTGATGTGTGTGTGTGTGGGTGTGTATAGTGGTAGATTATTTAAAAAACATGTCTGAATCAACTTATTTATAAGCCTTGTAGTTGGCACCCTTATATAAACAACGAAAGTTTTTTTTGTATTAAATAAGACATGATAATATAGCCGTAGGTTTTATAAACCAAAATTCTGCACATCTAGGACAAGGACAAGGAACATCATCGTGATTTAAGGCCCAGTTGTTCTTGATCTGATGAATGGTAGAGTGAGTCAAATTTAACTCTTCCTCCATAATTCTGATTGTCAACCGACGATCTGAACGAACAACGAATAACCTGGGCGCTCAACAAAACACTATCTCCGTAGGCATCCTGAAGTTTAGCACACCGTTGCTCGAAATTGATGTCGCTCATTTTTAGGACACAATAGAAAAAACTGATAAACAAAAAAAAAATCGCTACGGACAACCAAATGACCCGAGCGAGTTCAAACTTGTACTGAAGGCAGATCAGATGTTACCTGTCTCCCCTATAAGCCCGGCGTCACCAGTGAAACCAGATCGAACGCTTAAAGATTTTGAGACAAATATCCTTGATGATAAAAATGATGATAACGAATTGGAAATGGAACGACGGGAAGACGACGATGAAGAAGAAGAAAATGAGGAATTTTCTTGTTATTAAAGTATTTGTAAAATCTCCCCATATTTAAATTGTAATTAATGTAAGAAAGAGTATTTCCAAATAGAAATATAATTAAAATGTATACACTCAATTTTTGTCTACCTTAAATGTAATTAGTATGTATTAGAAAATAACTAAATAATGAAAATTATTAAATATAATGCAATAATTAACAAAACTATATACTTAATCGTTTCTAGACTGAACGCTGCGCTGATATTATTTCATTAATATAAATTCAAAGTAAATGATACTTTTTTATTACGTGTTGTCATTTTTTATCCTTCTTACACAATTTCCCTTTGGAGGTTGTTTCCTTAAAACTGGGATGAACTTTTTTAAACACGCTCATGTTATTTTAATAACAAAATCGGAGTAATCAGAAATTCTGATAACAGCGATATGATAGTCAAAATAACGTGAATATGCTTTTACCTTACTTAAGTAAAAATTTTAAATGAGACGGGAAAACCTCTTGATTATGGCTCCGAATGCTTTAACGATACCCTTTGAAGAAGTTAAGTGAAATCTGAAATATCAAATAACTTTCGATGACTTTTGAACATTGGTGTTTCCAATATCTACGTCCTATTTTGGTCTTATCATATACTACACTACTCTCACTTTTTACGTTTCGACTTCCTCTATTTTTGAAACATTATTTATTCATTTATTTACTCATGTTTGGGTTGCAACAGAATGTGAATTCTGTCTCACTTAGCAGGTATTCGAAAACTATTGAAATACATTTGTGTGTTTGGTATTTGGTATTCAATTGAATACTTTTCTTGGTCCGTACAAACGAAATAGCTACGCTACATTACTTGATTTTGTGTGAATTGTGGTGGTTTTGAATTCGCGATGCTGACAAGTCACTTTAGGAACGATATTATATTACGTATGCACTTGTGCTTATGCAGTATTGCCATTCAATTTTATAATGAATTTTATTACCTGTTATAATTTGTACGTGATACCAGATAGTAGATGTACAAAAAAGATATTTTTTTAATTATTTAGGTACATTGTATGAGATTCATATATCTTCGTGTTAGTTTCATTTTATTGTCTATAAAGGTCTATTAAAAATCAAAATATATTTTTATTATACAATTAATTATTTGTCTAACGTCTTTGTGCCATTGTGCATTTAAATGTAATTATGTTTTTTAATTTTGATTATTCAATATAGGCATTCTTAATTTTTTATCGGGTTTCAGTATTCGGTCCAAGTCTAAAACTGCCCAAGTACGACTCTGGATGTTTGAAAAGTGTATTTATTACGGAGGGCCATAGCCTCAATTAGTGGCACTGTACTCATTTCAAAAAGGCCACTCCATAAGTAGTTTGCGAATATCTGTAAATTATTGAAAATTGAAAACGTTGTGTACCGACTTCTCAAGCTGTTGACTTTCTCCGTTAGATATTTTGCACCTTGCTGATTCAACCCGATCTAAAAATAAGAGGTCTTTTTAAAAATCATTATATATATCCGTCGTAACTGGCGCGTTCTCCTCTTCATCCCACAACGTCAACGCGGGTATTCCTCAATGATCGGTCTTGGCTCCGACACTGTTACATATCAACGCTATCAGTGCTTGGGGACGCAACAATCTTGTACAGTTCAATGCTTCCAAAACACAGTACTGTACTTTGACGTACAAAAAGTGTCCTAACGCGCTCATCCGGTTTCGATGGATGGCCGAGTTCTGCCAAAGAGTCATTCATTTCGGCTGGTCGGAGTCCAGATCACCGAGGACGTGATCTGGCAAGAACACATTTCGTCAACAGCTGCAGCTGTTGGGAAAAAGCTAGACTATTTGTTTAGGGCTATGAAGTACTTTTCTCGGCATGACCTTCTCACTCTATACATGTCCCGGATAAGGTCTAGTCTCGAGTGTTGCTCACACGTTTGGGGTGCTGCTGCCCCGACTACATTATCCATGCTCGATGCTGTCCAGAGGAGGGCGGTCCGACTGATCTAACAGACAGTCTCGGGACTCTTTCGCACAAGGCTCTTTTCTACCGCTACATCAACGGGCTTTACTCCTCAGAGCTCACTTCCACGATGCCGCCGCACGATGTGCCTGCCAGACAGACCCGCCTGACTGGCGTCCCATCTTAACCGTGTCGAACTTCGTACATCCAGAACTGGCCGATACGGCCGCTCCTTTGTCCCGAGGGTGTCGAGATTGTGGAACAGTCTACAAGAGGAAGCTTTTCCCAGTTCTATTAACCTTAGGCAGTTCTAAAATCGTATTAACAAAATTTCTTTGGGATCATCATAGCAGCCGCGGTGTTCCGGCAATTAGGTTTCTGTCTGTGAGGCTGCTTCGATGTATAAAAAAAATATTTATAACGTCTGAAATAATTAAAATTTGGAATTTTGTACTCTCAGTGAAGTGAAGTATCACCAAACATACCGGGATGCAAACAGGCCAATAAATGAAGTTGTCGTGCGACATAGGAATCTAGATCTATGGTTCATTTTCCTAAACATTTTTGATGAAAACTACTCTTACCTGCATAAGCAGCATAAACGAAAAATGTCACCAATATCGCGACTTCAAAAAATGCAGCGCTCTTCATTTTGCTTTTGTTTGATAATCGTTTTCTTGTAACAGAATGTTGAAAGCCAGGACACATACTATATATTGTATATATGGTATAATATAGTATACTTAAAGTACTTCGATTATCTCACGATTCGATACGTAGTCTATTTTTTTTTTTGAGCAATCTCAGTGATTATCTTATCCTTAATGGTTAAGATAAAAGTATTCCATATTTCAAACGCCATCGAAAAAAAAGACGAATTGATTCTATCTCATTAAAAATTTGTAGCTTAGAGATGAGGTAATTCAATGTTCCTCAGACTTCTTTTAGATTTCATATAGTAATATCTAAGTTTCACTACGATCTTCATAACACACATAAAAAGTGACCCACTTCATCTGGAATATTTTGCCACAAATGAATTCGATTAGATTAGCAGGAGCCAAGCCTATATGTTTACATTGGATTGCTTGTCGCCAAATTTGCGTTGCTTTAGTGCATACTCTTTTTCTGATTTGACTACCATTACCTACCAAAGTTGTAACGTTCTATCATAATAATAATAACAATAATACTTACCGGTGGAAAGATCTACCTTCATTACGCTTGTGCTGCTCTTTGCTAATTATACAAGAAGTATCATGTCCTGAAATCGTCTAACACCACAAGTACCTACACTTTCAGAAAATAACACTAACTTAATAACTGATTTGTAAAAAAATTAACATATGTCAAGTCCACTTATAGTATGCACTTTTATCTAAAGACAGTCAAGGATTTATCTCCTAATTCTCATAGTCTGTAGTGAGGATCAAAGTGCACTTGACATAAGTAAATTTTTTTACAGTTCTTCCATTAAAATTTGTATTTTTAGTGTTGTTTTTCAAAAATGCGACTGTTTGCAGATTTGTGGTGTGATTTCAAGAGATGGAACTTCTTATATAATTTACAATAAACGGCACAAGCCGAATGAAGGTAGATGTTTCCACCGGTAAGTAATATTATTATGTTGAATCTCTCACTAAACATACAGGCTTGGCTCCTTCTAATCTACTCGAATTCGTTGGTTTTAACAAACGTGAGCATTCATCATGGTATTTTGGTAATTAAATAAAACTGTTAATGCTTTTTTATTTATTGCCTCTTCAGAATACTCGGGCTCTTCCTTAGTTTTATTTCCCCCCCGCCCTGGAGGGGGAAGTTCTACAGATTGTAGATCACTGCGATAATCTGATAAAATTCAGGATAGTCAAGTTTTCTAAAATAACGCTATTGGTAAGCAAAAGCTGCACGCGTATATTAATGCTCAGGAAACTGACCGAGATCCTTACTTATCATTTCAGTCTATTATACAATATTATATTTTCCTCGCCACAGATGGTCAAAATCTTTTTATCTATTGTTATCCGTCAGTTTTCAGCAGAAATAGAAGGAGATTGTTGAACTTGTGACCTTCTCGACACTTGAACTAAAAGCCCCTTGTATTATAGGATTATCTAAAAATCTTGCTTTTACATTACCCCTATGAAAATATGTCCAAAAAATCGTGAAGCTCAACAAAACATGATCTTCATTATAGTTTTTGTTGTTTGCTTTCAAACTTTTGTATGATTCTGTTCCAGAAGCTAGTAGAATACTATAATTAAACATCTTAAAACAGTATATCAGGCACAACAGAGTTCACTTCACTTGTCACGTATATGTTTTTCAGTAAAATCCAACTATCGCTTACAGATTCTTGCAAAAAGAAAAAGGCGGAGTTTAACCAAAGAAGATGAGCTGCATTAGGTACACTCCTTTCTCATAGCAATCACTTACCACACGAGGGTAATTTGATCCTTGATATATGACCATGACTAACTCGCGCGAACCAAAAGAATATTAAGCACTTCGGTTATTAATTTTCCGCAGTTACAGCGATATACATAATTATATGTACTAATTAAGCCACATTTAGACTATGCAACAAGTTTCTTTTCATAATTTCAGAAACAAAATAGATACAATACAAACATACATGCTTTCAAAAAATAGAAAGTACAAAAAAAGAAACAAATAAAAATTGACCAGGATACACCGTGTGATGAAGTTTTCGAAAAAATGTTCTAATAGGTTTTATTAATAAACCGATTTTTCAAACACCTTTTGAAGTATGCCAGTGTCATGCTGTTCTCTATGAGGCAGGGTGGTCTATTCAATTCTAAGGCGACATTTTGTGATCTCGAGCTTTGGAGTAGAAGTATGGAAGTGGTCTTTCGGTCTGGCATTAATAAGGTGTATAACTTTATTGTTTCTAAGCATATGCCTGTTTTTGAATATATATACAAGAAATGTTTGTTAATCGATGTTGAAGTAACAATACGATGTTTTTTAAAGAGTACCTTACATGATTCTCGTTGCTCAACTTTAGCTATGATGCGGATAATTTTTTTTGGGCTCTTACTACATCAGAGAAAAGAGTAGAGTTTGCCCATACACATACAGGGTTTGTCCTGAAAGTAATAGGACTGAGTCGATTGAAAAAAAAATATTGAACCAATCGTTACAATTCTTTAAAAACTTGCAAAATAGGCTCCTTCTGCGTCGATGCAGCGCTGCCAGCGCGATTTCCAAGCATTGAAGGCGTCACGGAAGGCATTCTCTGGAATAGCCTTGAGAGCCGCGGTGCATGCTTCTTGGATCCCCTTTGTCGTCTCAAAATGCTTGCCTTTCACCGGCCTTTTCAGGCGAGGAAACAAAAAAAAGTCCGGGGCTGTAGGGCGGCTGCGGAAGCATTGGGATGCCGGCCTTGGACAGGTAGCTGTTCACAAGAAAGGCGGTGTGAGCCGGGGCGTTGTCGTGGTGCAACTTCCAGTCGACTGCGATGTCTTGTCGGACCCGACTGACCCTTCGTTTGAGTCTCCTGAGCACTTCCACGTAAAATTTGGCATTGACGGTTTGTCCAGGAGGAACAAATTCATGGTGGACGATGCCTTTGACGCACACGAGTCACATTATCGGTGTTTGTCGAAGTCGAATGTCTTTCAGCACGGTCTTCATCAGCGACCTCTTCCCGGCCCTCCAAAAAGGCCTGGTGCCACCGAAACACCCCACTTCTTGCTAAAGCAACACCTGGGTAAGCCTGCTTGATCATGTCAAACGTCTCTGTCGCAGATTTCCCGAGTTTCACACAGAATTTAATCGCGTACGCCTGCTCCAACGAACGCTGCATTTTTGGCTTGCACCACTCACAGTAACATGTCGCGCGAAAATGCCTGTCCTGACTCTCCAAGTGCTCGATGACAACTGACCAGCCGCTCATTCGTTAGCTAGGAACGCCCTCTACCGAATCAGGTCGGTGCGCACGCTCCGAAGTACAGTCATGGCGGAAGAAAATGAGTCCTATTACTTTCCGGACAAACCCTGTATGCCATACCTTAGACAACTCATTAATCTGGGCATGGTAAAAACTGCTTACTTGCTGGTCCTTCTAAATAACTCTGAGTGTTCTGATAAAAAAGGTCAAAAGTAGAACATCTTACTTTTACCTTATGAAGGTGAACATCTTCAACATTTAGTATTTGTACCTTATGGATAGTGGTCTGAAGCATTAAGAATATCTTACTCCTCAAGCGGCATCCCCCTTTCCAGGCCTAAAGGGAGCCCATGTTTAGGGATATCAAAATTTCTCCTTTCAACTCCCGTATGTCCTAGCACTCAGAATATACAATATCAACAAGATTTAAATCGTATTTGATGTTTTGTTTGTAGTCACCGACCCAGGACTAATACGTTGCAGCTTCAGAAAATATATTCCAACAATCGTCAAATAAAACCACAACCATATGATAAGTTTCAGATGCAAGATTAACAACACCAACAAGTTCATGTAAAGCTTGGAAGTTGTTTCAAAACATGTTGCCCCTTGTTTTAGAACACTGTTTCAATAAACATTTTTTGCAACTTATTGCATAATCTAAATGCGACTTTAGACGGTATCCTTTGCGTTTGTATCGTGTGCCTTATCGTTTCTAATAATAAATTAAACCTTTGCGGCTGGATGCGCCTCCTTGGACTTATCGCCTTTTCACCATCTTTTGCACGGCTCTTATTCTATTATTCCTGATCGAAAGCCTTGATAAGCAAGCATATTCTCATGCCTAACAGGTAGTTATCGTTCCTGATATAGTTAAATTAAGATCGCTTTATAGAGATACTGGATTTGTGTTATTGTTTTGCTTAGATTAGCCCAATATTGGATGACGTGGATCACGGAGATTTCACTTACCATACTAGTTGGCGACGAAGTATTGTAACAGAGAATTAATGGCGAAGTGTCGGTATCATGTTTTATGATTGTTACATGACAAGTGGTATATTAGGAAAAACTATGCCACGCATCTAAGTTGATCGGTTCGAAAAGTTCTGTGCGAATTCTGATGAAATTCAGTTACTAAAATGAAAAAGTTTTGGAAAATGATTTCGCGAACACTAAGTATTTCGAAACATGGGCTGAGTCTGCGACCATGATCAGCCATATATAACGTCATTAAATTTCATTATTTTCTAGGCCCAAAATTTTATAATATTAGTCCACCAAATTTAAAACATATAGATACAGTGCAAAAAACGTACCAAAATTGAATTAGATTGTGGATTCTAAATCAGTCAACACTATTCATACATAAACTCATAGACATCAAAAATCGGTACGTCCTATGACTAAATCATTATACATATTATCACCTCAAGATATGCAAGTTATACCTACATTTGACCAAAACATAAAAAATCGTTTGTATTTTGAAATATTTCAAATTTAATTTATTATATTTCAAGCCCAAGCTCAAGTTCATACTTTTTGGTTATTTCATGTCCATTGGTATACTTTCATGTATTTTTTATATTACATTTTGTGTTATAATCAGTAAACATTATTATTATAGTTTCATGCTTGCTTGCAATTATCAGTTCGGTAAAGGTCCTGTCTTGGAGACAGACCAGGGAAAACGAACAAACGGATATGGTCTAAAAAAATCTCAGTATGTAATCCGCGAATAGGTGGTACTGCCATCTGTGAGTAGTTCTCTAAATCTATGGTAAAGGAGAAGCCCATACGCTTTCCGACATCTCTGAATGACAGCTCGCTCGATCAACGTAGGTACTGTGCTCCCCG